TAATGATAAATTACTCTTTGAATTAAATCTCACGTGTGGGGAAAATTAAAGGAAAGCATTAGTTCTTTAAATTTAACTACTTAGTAATATGGCTAATTGTGATAAAATATCAGATTTACCCGCTATCTTTCCTATTTGTCCTCTTTTTTGAGGATTATCCACTGTCTTCGCTTTATCCTTAAGTTGATTCTGCTGGATCGCAATTTGTTCTGCCAGTGTCTTAATCTGCTGCTTCGTCTGAGTCAATTCCACTTCAAGCTGCTGGCGCTGCTGATCACTAGTCTTTTGATGATCAGCCAATTGACGCTCCAAACTGGTTCTTTGGGTACGCTCACGATCAAGCACAGACTTGTGGATGAGATATTTTGATGCAAAGATGGATGGATTTATAAAATAGAGCAGATAAGAACAGCTTAAAATAAATTACTCAAGTGAAAACTTTCAATGACTAATTGAGGCCAGAATTTCAACATTTTAATTTTTTACGTATAATGAAGCTTCAATGAACATTGAATAAATATCCTAAAATATAATAAAGATTAAACTTTATATTACTTTTCAGATGAAAGATTCGATTACTTCTAGTTAAAAAGAGAATATTGATCTGACCACCAAGTGAAGAAAAGTAAGTGCGAAAATAAGCAACTTTAAATTTTGGTATTCTGTAAATGTAGTGTCAATGGTAAACTAATTTTACCATTGTTCCAATCTGATTTGGCCGTAATATCGACGGAAACTTAGATATTCTCTTTAGTATTTTGTATTGAAAAATCTTCTGCGAAAAATTATTATCTAACTAATTTCAGTAATGATCGCCATTTTCGATTAAATTATTATTATTAGTGCCATTTTATTTTATAAAATACTTTACTTTACATATACCAGAAACCTGAATTATCAGGCCAGATTCAACGATGTATGGTACTTACTCGGGATGGAGAGCTCGATTTCCTGTTTTAAATATACATCTGAAATACCTTATACACGGTTTCTAGCAAATATAGGCGAGATCATTTCACGATATTGGGCTATCCCAGATTTAAATCGCAAGATATCCAGAGTTTGTTGAGTTGTATAACTTAGTTTTTTCAGTACATTATCATAGAAGGGAGAAAGAAAATAGGATAGAAAGATTGCGTGTAGCTAAGTCCATTATCGTCCATTATAAGTCTCGTTGTACTGCAGCGGCCTAGAGTTAATACGACGTTTGGGCTGTGAAGTCCATGGTATATCCTCCCTAGTTTCGAGTGAAAATGGACTGAGTCCCCATCCATCATATGATGGACAACACCAGAGCTGGAACTCATTCTTGTAAATGTCTCACGTCTTCTTGACCTGGTGTTAACGTGAGACTTTTAAGAGGATTACTTCCGGCTCGGGTGATGTCCATCATATGATAAACGAAAGCTCAGCTCTTTTTCACCCGAAACAAGGGAGAACGTATCGTGGACTGTGTTAAGCTGAACGTTTTATTAAAGCCAAACGTCTGCAGTACAAGAGAAGTCAGCCTTCATCATCTGATGAGATCGACTTTCGAGTCTCTTCATTAAGTCCTTTTATACGAAGTTAAAGTTTCTTAAGCAATATCAACTTGAGATATCCATTGAAACCCACTTATTCTTTGCATATACAGGGAATATCAATTTTTCTTAAGTATAATATTGCATGGGATTCGTCCAAGGGTTTTCAATATTTATGTAAAAAGTTATTAAGTGTCTTTAAAATAATTACCAGAATAAATCGATTTTAGGTCTCATAAAATCGGGCGCGTTAACTATCGAGAACAGACATCAAATATGGCTAACCAGTTTGCAGTAAGAATTAATTGG